ACCTGTAAAGCATGACTCTGTAAACTCTTCTTTACCTGTAAAGCATGATTCTGTGAACTCTTCTTCACTTGTAAAACATGACTCTGTGGACAATATTATCTGGCATAACAGATTGGGACATCTCTCTTATTCTAAGCTTATGCATCTCCCTATTTCTGGTATTAATTGTAAACATATGCAAACTCTACCATGTGATGTGTGTCATTTTGCTAGGCAAAAGAAACTGCCATTTACACTTAGCACTTCTCATGCTGCATATGCTTTTGAACTCATTCATTGTGACCTATGGGGTCCTTTTTCTATCCCTTCTCATGAAGGATACAAATATTTTCTTACCATAGTAGATGACTTCAGTAGAACTACTTGGATTTATCCCCTTAAGCATAAATCAGACACAAAAACTAGCATACTTCAGTTTTCAAACATGGTTTCTACTCAATTTCAAAAACAAATAAAAATCATCAGAACTGACAATGGTTCTGAATTTCATATGCATGACTTTTACATTAATAGTGGCATACTGCATCAAACCAGCTGTGTTGAAACTCCCCAACAGAATGGGAGAGTAGAAAGAAAACATCAGCATCTCTTGCAAGTAGCAAGAGCCATTTTATTTCATGCACATTTACCTCTCACCTTTTGGATAGATTGCATCATGGCTGCTGCACACATCATTAACAGAGTCCCATCCATGGTTCTTCATAACAAGTCTCCTTTTGAACTTCTTTTCAACAAAGCACCTTCATATTCTCACCTCAGAGTCATAGGTTGCTTGTGTTATGCATCCACATTACATGTAAACAGACATAAATTTGATTCTAGAGCACAAAAATGCATTCTTCTTGGATATCCTATAGGTTGTAAGGGATATAAACTCTACAACCTAGATACCAAGAAAACATTGATATCCAGAAATGTGCTATTTTATGAGGACTTTCTACCTTTTCTTAAATCTGATACTCAATCCTCTTCTGAAAGAATTTTTTCCCCACCACCCCCTTATATATTCACACCTCAGCCACCCACAACTCCTATATCTGAGTCTCAAACAAATCTTATCCCATATAATACAACTCATTCCTCTTCACCCACCCCTATTTCTCCTACTATTGAACCATCTATAACACTATCCCCACCACCTCCTCCTCATACTAATCATTCTGACCTTCAAGTAACTACAATTCCAGAACCCCCATTGCAAACAAGAAGGTCCACCAGACATACAAAAACTCCTGCTTACTTAGATATATATCAGCACTCCCTATCCTCTGCAACCTCCTCCAACAGCACTTCTGGTACATCACAATATCCAATATCATCTTATCTGTCCACTAATTATCTCTCTGCATCTCATTCATGCTACACTGCATCTATATCTCTCATCTCAGAACCTAAGTCATATTCTGAGGCTGCTAAAGATCCTCAATGGCAATTGGCAATGAGTAAAGAAATAGATGCACTAGAAAGCACTAACACATGGTCTTTGGTTCCTTTACCCAAAGACAAACATTGCATAGGTTGCAAGTGGGTTTTTAAAGTAAAGTATAAATCTGATGGCACCCTAGAAAGATATAAAGCTAGATTGGTTGCCAAAGGTTATACACAAGAAGAGGGGATAGATTATTTTGAAACCTTTTCCCCTGTTGCAAAGATAACCACTGTTAGATTCTTAGTTGCATTAGCATCCATTAAACATTGGCATATACATCAACTTGATGTAAATAATGCATTTCTTCATGGAGATTTAGATGAGGAGGTATATATGAAACCTCCTCCTGGATACTCCAAACACAATGACAACATGGTTTGCAAATTAAATAAAAGTTTATATGGCTTAAAGCAAGCCTCTAGACAATGGTTTTCTAAACTGACCAAATGTCTCATTGATTTTGGATTCACTCAGTCAGTAGCTGATTGTTCATTATTCATTATGCATACTCCATCATTCTTCATTGCATTATTAGTCTATGTGGATGATATTATCATCACAGGTGACTGCCTTACACAGATTTATGCCATTAAAAATCATTTAGACAAATGTTTTACAATCAAAGACTTGGGTGTTTTAAAATACATTCTTGGTTTAGAATTTGCTCATTCTGAAAAAGGCATTAATATGTGTCAAAGGAAATATGCCTTAGACATATTAACTGATACTGGTTTTTTGGGCTGCAAGCCTTCAAACACCCCTATGGATCCTACATTGAAACTTTCTGCATCCACAGAAACTGATACTTTAACTGATCCAACATCATATAGGAGACTAGTAGGTAGACTTCTAT